TAATAATTTAATTTATTTGCCAAAATACAGTTCACAAGTTGATACATTTTATGGAAGTAAGTACATGTATTCTACCTGCATGCAGGTGTGTAAATATTGCAGTCAGCTATTTTGTCATCTGTCATATATTCCTTAATACTATAATAACATTTTTTTTGTAACCATTTTGTCAACTTACTTTTAAACATTGTCCCAGATTCTAATTTTATATCGTCGGATAATTTATTATATATACATATTAACATGGGTGGGGAGAAGTCGATCTGTTCGGATCTTCGTTACAACGAAATATTCGCAACTTTGTAATATATGGTTGTTGCGTTAGCTGCATGCGATCAGGTGTGCGTTATCGAGACCATGTTATCCAACTGGTTACTGGCCCCGGGGTGTCGCAACAGCGCTGCGTGCTGGTAATCAGTGCGAGCATTGTGCGCTTCGCTGCGCCCGCGTCGCCGCAACCCGACCTGGAGCTCTATTTTTGAATCACTCGTCTTGCGTCGAACGTTCGATTTCTACTAAATTTCATTCGACATAATTAATTCCGTATTTTTGTATCGCTCGAGTGCAACGAATGGGTGAGACCACTCGCTGAATGGCGAACAGTGGAGGCGAATGATAGAATAATTGTCAATTTTTTTGTGCTATTAGACGACGATAATCTATTATTGTCATGCTTTTTGTTCGGTTTTCATTGCGGTTTTTTTTTCTGCGTGAACTGAGTAAAACTTTATATTTTGTATTAAACAGGTAACACTGGTAACGAATGATTCAAAAATACGGAAAATCAGTATCATGAGACTTGAAAGTCGAAGGTGACTTATGTCGCATTCGACGATACTATGTCAGACGAGTGATTCAAAAATAGGGCTCCTGGAACCGATCATCTAAAACCGTGCGAGCGGCATACAGATAGTGTTGAGTAGGACTCAAAATGTAAGAGCGGCTCAAAATTTTAAAATGTACTACTTCACATTAAATGTCGCGATAGTCGCGTCTCGTTACTCACTCACTCTTCGTAAGTCTGAGAGAGAGGTTATTTCCAGACATTACGATCGTTCAAATAATCTTTGACTTGATAGTATTTTTCGCTCATTATTGTCTTTTTTACGCGAGTTATGAATTTTTGCATAAGAAGATTGGTAATAAAAATAGGAGACAGATCGTTTTCTAGTATTAAAGTTAAAATTATCATCTTTCTTATATTATCTTTGTTAATTGAATTACTGTAATATTTATGTACATAAATCATGTTCTCATACATGTATTGTCCAGGGGCCATCCATAAATTACGTCACACGTTAAGGGGGAGGGAGGGGGTCGAAGAAGTGTGACATTGTGTGACAAGGGGCTAGGAGGGGTCCTAAATTTCGTGACGTCACATTTAAAAATCTATTATAATTGAAATGTTGAAACTATAACTTTACGAAAACATAAAGAACCCAAACGAAAACAAAGTGGTGCTATGCCTGTTATAAATAATTTAAAGAAGCGGGCTCAATATCTATGGACTCAAGATTATTAAGTTTGTATCTTTAATGTAATCATAATGCTATTCATATTTGTTTTGTTAAATTGTTGGATTTGATGTTAATATTATTGAAAAACAAATTTGAATGAAAATAAAACTAATTTCAGATCCGCTGTTTACATTCAATAATTTCTAAATTTTGTAAAATATGTGACGTCACACTAGGGAGGGGGGGAGTCTCATAAATGTGACCAGCTGTGACAAGGACGGGGGGAGGGGCAAAAAATCATGAAATTCGTGTGACGTAGTTTATGGATGACCCCCCAGTCTGTATTAAGTTGTTAATTTCATTAAACATATCTCTAAGGGAATCCCTTGACCTTAAGTTATATATGGACCTAACAGCTCGTTGAATACTTTAAGTAAATCAAATTACCTTATTTATTCTAGAAGAGACGTTCTTGTATTTTAAAAGGCAGTTATTCTAGTAATTTTTTTGGCAATGTTAATTTTAAAGGAAATAATAAATAACACACAATTAGAGACGACACTGTCGTATAAAACCGGAAATTATTAATAGAGTGGTGTCTTTCGAAACCTAAATGGGCTTTTAAATATTATTCTGCATTACACTGTGCGTTTTGAACCAGCGGTTCGGGGACCGACGCTTTAGTTATTTGCATTGCAAAGGTTCAAATTGTAATTTCCTCGCAAGATTTGCCTAAGTAAGGTGTTATCAGTAATTTACGCTCAGTTTATAAAATTAAGCTCCATAGGCCTGCTATAAAATGGCCTTTAGCAGCTAAATACATAATTAAAAATATAAGATTACAGCTAAAAACATAATTAATTAGATATATAGTATTACATATAAAATTTACAATAAATTAACAGACAAATTCAAAGAACTAAAACCTTTTAAATTAAAAAATATACCTGCTTAAGGATTGGCTCAGCCAAACATATTTTTATAGTATCTAAGAGTACTTAGAATACAGGTAGAAAAATAACTTGTATATAAATTCAAATGGTTCTTATACGTATAATATAAATGTGTATTCACCTGAAAAGGTAGGACCAAGTGGTACTGTACATTAGCATTAAGACCTGTATTTTGATGTTACCTTGTTCCATACACAATAAAGATTCATTATTACTATTATATTAACAGACCAAACAGATGGTTTTGAACAGACAACGCTTGTACTTTCCTGTAGTTAGCCAGGTCGTTCTAGCGGACACAGACGGGGTCGGCGCACCGCTAAACTGAGCCCAAGGTGACCCAAACACAAAATACATCATGTTGGACAAACGTTCCTGATTGATTGATACGAATTGGGAGATCGAACTGTTAAACAAGTTGCTCTTTAGCCATTTTTAAGTCGCAATCCATCAATTACGGATGACTTTCGTTTAGCATTGACTCGATATTGAAGGGATCTTTTGGGGATTTGTGACCAATTAACGGGATAGTGCGGGATCAAATTCTCAATGCTGCCAATAATATCCCTGCCGTCTAATCGCAATGACTATATCTTCGCCACCAATAGGGCAAACTCGACGTCAGAGAGGTTCTTTAAAATAGGTGTATATTTATTTACTTCTAAAAGAATGACATAAAGTGCCAATTCAATTCGTTTATTGCATATCCACAATGTACAAAAAGATGTTAAATATAAGTTATGACAATATACGATCATTATGGACCCTATCGGGCACGCAACTAAATGAGAGATAGAAGAGAGGAGTTACATTCAAATTTCTATGTTAGTTTACAGATTAAAAGAGTTAGGTACTGAATGGCACTATTACATAAGTTGTCACTATTTATATAAGTTAAGATAAAATTCATTCAATCAATATAAACAATTAATTAATAGGCAGATAATATTTAATAATAAAAAAAATGCCAGTAGGTACTTGATTTCCAAACAATTGAAAAATAGGCTAGTTTATTTCTCAACTACATTAAACAAAATTTTTGACCTAACCAATACTGAAATAATAATCAATTCAAGCATGTTAGAAGCTTATTGCCGATGAAAATTGGTTAAACGAAAACATGAATAATATTATAACATTAGTTTGAACCTATTTTGGAAGGATATAAAGTTTGATTTTGAACTGCAGTCTGTTAAATATGCACAATTGTTGCAGTAAAGGAAGAAAATGCAGGAAACATTGCGTGCGGCGCGGCAGACACGCGCCGCTGCCCCAGTTCAAGTTTTTGTTTCAGGAAAATGCGAAAACTCACAATTTTATGTAAACAGGTGCATTATGCATGCACAGTTATGCATTTATTGGAAATATTCGTTATTAAGTTTTATCAAAGAATCATACAAATGTACCTGTATGAACGATTTTATTATTTATTTATATTTAAGATAGATTTATCGAAGGACATTACATTCAGGGATGGAAGAGGAACATCTCGGAGAAGCTGTGAATGAAGTCACATTCTACTTGGAAAGTGTAAACGCATTAGAATTATGCTGCATAAATAATCCAATACAGATTCTAAAGATTAAAGAAGGGATTGAATAAATTGAATTGAAGAGATTGTGATATATTAACTGAGGATTGAAGAAACGCAACGCAAGAATACGTCTAAAAGAAACATTGGATAACGTCATTTTATTTCTGGAATCCATGAGAAAGTCTAGTGCTGCACGTTGACCCTAATTTACTATGCATGTATTAGACTCAGTACCATTTAATAATAGATGTGTCGATGACACAGATTGCTTGCTATCATAAACAAACGTTATTTAAGTGATACGGTTTTCTGTCAAACAAAAACTGAGAAATAAAGCACGCTTTGGTTTTTTTACTGTGAACAGACTATTTATTATTTTCATAATAATTTAAAATATTGTTCTTCCACAGGGCCCTAAATCCACACGTAATAAACCTGCAAACGTCGGTTTTCATTTTGTTTGTAAATGAGAAATTTTTACTTGTTTTAGCAAGCGTGATTTGATAGCTGCATAACTAAAATATTTAAATTAGTTTTTTGTTTTCTTTCTAGAAAAGTATGATTATAAATATCATGTTTAGTCCAAATCTGATTCAGGCGCATATTCGAAAAAATATGGAATGTAAAATTTTTATATTGCAAATTCTGATTATACTCGTATATCGGACATTGCGCTAATAAAGCTTTCTACTTAGCCTTATTAATAAACAAGGAATAAACTTAGACTAGTTACGCCGTGTTATGTTCTTGTCACTCAAATGCAATTTGTCATTCAATGAACAAAGAGAAATCATGGAATAACTTATCCAAGCTTGGTCTTCGTTTATCAATAAGGGGGGGTAAAGTTTAAGAAATGGTTTCCCCGAAATAATCCCTACTGACTTCTGTTTTCATCCTTTCCTTAAATCCTTTCGAATTAAAAACACTCGTCATTTGTGCTAAATTAAATATAATATAGTTAGTGTGATGGAATTAGACTTATTACTATTTATATATTACCTGTGCTTGGAATATTAATGTTATAAATTAATGATGATGTATATTTAAATTTTACAGAATATCATGGTCAAGGAATGGACGCGGGAGGGAACAATTTTGACTCCGGTAAGTTTTACGAATTACTTACAATCGCTGTAATCGTTATGTGTCATCATCATCAGTCTATTATTGTCCCCACTGCAGGGGCACAGGCCTTCCCTATGGAAGAAGTACAGAGTTTGCGCGTTACCACACGGGCCCAATGCGGATTGGTAGGTGCTAACGACTGCAGATGCCCCGGGACCAACAGCTTAACGTGCCTTCCGAAACACGTATGCGCTCAAGATATTAAATTATTGGTCACCCATCCGAACCACTCCGAGAGTTGCTTAACTTCAACGATCGCAGCCGAACGCGCTAACCATTTGTGCCATCGAGTTCCTCGTCCGTCGAGTTATGTATTTTCCGAATTTATATTAATGACGTTTGAATTCTTTTTAAAATGCTTTTTTGTGATGAACTGATTCAATTAGACAAAGCTTTGTAGTACTGCTGATCTTATGGCGCTGTTACACTTGGTCTTTAGACCGAACACAAGTGCCAATGGAATTTGGGTAAAGGACTAAGTGAAAATAAACGGAGTCGAGTACGCTCGTATTCGGGTAGATTTCCTTTTGTTTGCCCGTCACTGTCATCCAGCCAATATTCCAGTGTAAACGTTGCTTCGGGTGCCCGAATTCGAGTAATGTCTTTCAGAATTATCATCACTGCCGCTTTCGGCTATAAAATAAAATATCGATTATTGTAGGTTTTAAAACGACAACTTTATAAGAAAACTTAAGTTCTTATATTTCCCTTTTCCAGTACTCATTTTGTATACGTATCTTAAGATTTATTTCATTCTTTTGTTTACAAATATTTGGTATTTATTCTAAGATTAGCTCAGTGCTAAAAAAAAGTGTTCCAAGATTATTTTTCTAGTATAATTTTCTTTAGATTTAAACATCTAGTAGTTAAATGCTTTAAAATAAAAATATTAGCTACAATATTAATTTTTTCACAGATTTTACTTTATATGTTATTTCATTTGTTCCCCCAGTCCCGGTTATGCAATTAATATCATAAAAACAAGAAAAATAAAGGTAGTTTTAAATGGGGTGTTAAAGGGTTAAAATCGAGTTAAAATTATATCATAAAACGAAGACCACTGGTCTCCCTTTTGGCACGCCAAGTCCATACCAACACTTACGTTGTCTATTTCGATATGTCTGTGGATATGACACTATCACAAAATATTTATTTCCTCTTTATACTTACATTGTTGGCGACCTGACCTATAATATCACATTTGTAAATTATCAATTTTTACCGTTTTCTTTTGAGTACTTATATCAAGATCAATTTCAACTATTTCAATAAAAATGGAAACCAGAGCTTTGTAGGCAGGCAAAGGTAATGTCCTTTTTTCCGCGAGTTTCAAATGCGGTCATTGAACCCCGGCGATAGGTGCGACCCGAATTGGGTTAGATCGCCTCTGCCCTTGAGCGAAGATCGCTAATGGGCTGGCTGGCGAGCACGCCGCCGTCGCCTGTCGCCTGTCGCCTCCCCTCCGCCCGCTCACCAGACCAATCGTTTTTGCAATTTACTACTCTAGAATACGACATATTGCATTGCAATTGACACTACTACTAAAATGCTTTTTAATTTGATAATATTATGTTCGATTTTACTTCGAAAAGCAATGGATTGTAATTGAGAAATGCTAATGCCTAAATATCGTTGCCTACGTGCGCCAACATTTCTTAAATCAAATTTAAAAGCTAATCATGTTTAATCCTCGTTAAATCTTATATTTGACTTTAAACAATGAGTAAAGATGGAATATGTATGTTGGTTCAAGTGGCCCTAATAATTTACTCTTCTTTAATAAATTATTTACTGTTTAGCGCATGATGAGGCCATCTTTAATTACAGTTATATTATATCCTAATACTTAAGCATATGTGTAAGTTTGTTTGTATTAATATAGCTGTGTTGATGGTCCATAAATAAATAAATAAAAAAAAAATAGATTTAAAAGATATCGTTTTCGTCATATTTGGCATTATAATATCTGCAAGGAATCTTTTATATAATCCGGTCAAATAAAGTTGGGTGAAGTTAGGTACAAAAATTTTCACCGCGCTCAAAATTGTTCAAGACATAATTAAAAATAACATTTCGAAATTCCCCTTCGTTCCGGTATTGGAAAGAAATTTACTCGAGGTCAAAGGTAAAAAAAGTGGTGTTTTCGCGATTTTCATCAATCAATCCTAAAATCCTACCTCTGACCTCCAGTATTTTTTTTCCCAGTACTGGAACGGTGGGAAAATTTGAAATGTTATTTTTAATTATGTTTTGAACAATTATACTCATTAAATAAAACTAGTTTTTACGGGTTAATGCACGAAAACTTTATTTATTTATTGACGTTTTTTTTAATGAGTGATGTGCGTGAAAACCTAAGAAACAAATAAATTATATCAGAATGCAATTATAAACTAGTTTTATTTAATGAGTGATGTGCGTGAAAACCTAAGAAACAAATAAATTATACTCATTTCCAGCTTGACGTAATTTTATGTATGTCTAGATTGACCGGAATATTTAACGATATAAAAGTCCTTGTTAATAATATAATACAGAAAACAAGATTTAGACGACATGGTCCAAATTTGTTACAAAATACATATTATGATTGGACAGAACAATGAATTAACTGAACGGGCGTGCTCGTTTCCATAAATTTCGAGGGTACGAGCTGCATGTCGCATAAATTATGTCCGCTAAGCTGTTTGCCCTGTGCTGTGAATCAAGTTTAATGATAACACGGCGAGATCTAGAGTCAAGATTCTGCTTATTCGGTTAGTAACTAACTAGCAAATCAGTGAACCAAATGTTCACCAAAAAAAAACAAAAAAAAATGTATTTAATTAATTGAGAACTTCGAAGATTTTGTGTGGTTTCGTTTGAAATAGAAATCACGTGATTTCTCGAAAACCGGAAGTGCTACGTTACTCACATCCGGTTTGTAGTCTTATCAGACTATTCTTAACTTATAACTTAAACATTCTCTATATCTATCTCTTAAGGTTTGGCCGCTGAAACAGCACCACTGACGGACGGACGGACTTGTCTATTAGATAAGAGATAACGGCCATACTCACTACGAGAGTTTTCAGCCCAGGGGGCCATTCGCCTAACGGAAATGCTATGGAAAACGCTAACGCTTTCGATTTTAATTTGTTATTTCAGACCGCTGAAGGTTTTCAAATACCTCACGCTATTTTTTTTTAATATTGTTATTACCAATGCAAAAGAGAAAAAAAAGAGCGCGAGGCATTTTAAAACCTCAGGCGGCTAGAAATAACATAATGAAATCGTAAGCGTTAGCGTTTTCCAAAGCATTTCCGTTAGGCGAATGGCCCCCAGGGCTTGCGTTAGCTCGCGTGCTCATTAAATTAACGTATTAACAGCTCCCGTTATTACTGCTACACCGGACGATCGATCTCTACTCAGCTAATTAATTCGAACTCATTTCGGAATTCAGCAATCTAGTACATATTTTAATTGCTTACGTGTTCAGTTACTCGCCGCTGACGTTGTAACTAAGCAATACTCGCCGGTCATCACTTTGTCGTTATTCAGGTGCACGAAAAACATTACTCGTCTTTTTTATATCTAGGTAGGCAAATGACTCTACCCCACCTGACGTTAAGTGATGATAAAGTCTAAACGCGAAGATAGCTGGTACAGTAGTTATAAACTGCTACACCAACCATCCTCACCTTGCCGGCCTGCAAAAATGCTTTTTCACGCCTCTCTTCAAGTACCCCAGATTATAGGAAGCCACAGTAAGTCGGTAAAAGAATTTCCAAGCAGCTGCTCATAAAAGACTACGAAGGACATAATAACGACAGACAATTTACCAGTTTCGGTAATACGAATAGATCAGACAGGTTAATATCCACGGGCGTACTCGACTCCGTTCATTTACTCTGAGTCGTTTACCCGAATTTCATTTTCAAGCGTATTCAGTTAAAGACCAAGTGTAATAGGGTATTTGACAAGTTTTAGAAAATGATCTCACGTTATTGACTAATGTTTTTGGAGTCCGTAAAAAGTGGATATTCATCATTCTGTTGTTTATTTCGGTAAAAATAACCAAATCAAAAACTCGCATTTTCAAGTTGCCGCGAAAACGTTTCTTTGGACAATATGGCGTCTTACTAGTGTGTGACGTCACACGACTGTTATTAAAAAGTCAAACGATACACTGTAATGTCACTTTAACCGGAAGTTTACTTGCGTGTGACGTCATTTTAGGCTCCGCCATTCCCAATCGTTTTGAGTCACGTGACAATGGATAAGAAAACCATTATCTTTTTCGTGGGTTTTTAGTAAAATTATGAATATTTTTTTGTAAAAATAGTAAAATCCCCTGCCAATATTCATTCTTAACATAGATGCTAACAATTGGCACTTTATTTTTAATACTGTCAAATACTCTATTTTGCCATAAGTATAAATGAATGGAGTCGAGTACACCCGTATTCGGGTAGTTTTCGTTTTGGTTCCCCCACATTGTCTTCCAGTCCGTATTCCATGTTAGCTTCGGGTACCCGATAGGGATGTTGAAAGTTGAAAAAAATATCGATACATCGGTCTTTTAAAAAAAAATCAATATCGGCTTCGATATATCGCGAAAAAAACATCGATATATCGGACCAATTTTCCCAAAAATATCGTACAGTAGCTCACGAAATATAACACGCGGAATAATAATGGAACGAAAATTATCTCCCTAAAAATAGACCCTATTTTCGAATGATGACAGACAATACTAAATACAGCACAGATCATAGATATGTTGAATATCATTAATCTGAGATCCAGTTACGATTTTTCCAGATACGAATTTAGTTAGATCGTGTATATGCCGCTAATAATTAAAAAAATATCGTTTTTGATACAAATTTCGATATTGGTTATTTTGTATCGATATATCGAATCAAAATATATCGGCAAAAAATATCGATATATCGATACATCGATATATTTTCAACAAGCCTAGTACCCGAATTCGA